TCAAAAATGAGTTTAAATATCTTCCTGCTTCCTCTTGTTTCTGAAAAACTTGTGTAGAGTTGTTAGTATTTTCCCTTAAGTTTTTAATTTGATTTATCAATAAAACTCCATGGGCCTGTGCCTTCTTTTCTGGGAAGGTTTTTGATAGTGAATTAAATTTATTTAATAATTATAGGGCTCTTCACATTTTTGTTGTTTCATCTTGTGTCAGTATTGGTAAATAAACTGAGTTTTACAAGGAGCTCATCTATTTCATTTGAGTTGCTCAGTTTATTACAATAAAATTGTTACTGATATTCCTCATTATCCTTTAAAATCTATATAATTACAAAGGCTTCATCTCTCCAGATATTGGTAATTTGTGTGTTCTCTCTGTTTTTCTTCATCAGTTTTTCTAAAAGTTAATAAATTTTTTTGCGATACGCGGGCCTTTCACCGCCGCAGCCTCTCCCGCTGCGGAGCACAGGCTCCGGACGCGCAGGCCCAGCAGCCATGGCCCACGGACCCAGCTGCTCTGCGGCATGCGGGATGCTCCCAGACCAGGGCACGAACCCGCGTCCCCTGCATCAGCAGGCGGACTCTCAACCACTGCACCACCAGGGAATCCTAAAAGTTAATAAATGTTAATAATCTTTTCAAAAACAAATTTTGGATTTTTATATTTGCTCTAATTTGGTTTTTTAAAATTTTTATTTTATATTGGAGTATAGCTGATTTACAACATTGTGTTAATTTCAGGTGTACAGCAAAGTGATTCAGTTATACATATACATATATCTATTCTTTTTCAAATTCTTATCCCATTTAGGTTATTACAGAATATTGAGCATGGTTCCCTGTGCTACACAGTAGGTCCTTCTTGGTTATCTACTTTTAAATATAGTAGTGTGTATATGTCAATTCCAAACTCCCAATTTATCCATATGTCTCACCTTTCCTTTCTGGTAACCATAAGTTTGTTTACTATGTCTGTGTGTCTGTTTCTGTTTTGTAAATAAGTTCATTTTTTTCATTTTTTTTTTAGATTCCACATATAAGTGATATCATATGATATTTGTCTTTTTCTGTCTGATTTACTTCACTTAGTATGATAATCTCCAGGTCCATCCATGTTCCTGCAAATGGCATAATTTTATTCTCTTTAATGGCTGAGTAATATTCCACTGCATATGTGTACCACATCTTCTTATCCATTAATCTGTCAATAGACATTTAGGTTGCTTCCATGTCTTGCCTATTATAAACAGTGCTGCAATGAACACTAGGGTGCATGTATCCTTTTGAACCATGCTTTTCTCCAGATATATGCCCAGGAGTGGGACTCTGGATCATATGGTAGCTCTATTTTTAGTTTTTTCAGGAACCTCCATACTGTTCTCCATAGTGGCTATACCAATTTATATTCCCACTAACATGGTAGGAGGGTTCCCTTTTCTCCACACTCTATCCAGCATTTATTGTTTGTAGACTTTTTGATGATGGCCATTCTGACTGGTGTGAGGTGATATCCCATTGTAGTTTTGATTTGCATTTCTCATTTCTCTACTAATTAGTGATGTTGAGCATATTTTCACGTCCCTCTTGGCCATCTGTATGTCTTCTTCAGAGAAATGTCTATTTAGGTCTTCTGTCCACTTTTTGATTGGGTTGTTTCTGTTTTTTTTGATATTGAGCTGCATGTGCTGTTTGTAAATTTTGGAGATTAATCTCTTCTTGGTCACAATGTTTGCAAATATTTCTCCCATTCTGTGGGTTGTCTTTTCTTTTTGCTTATGGTTTGCTTTACTGTGCAAAAGCTTTTGAGTTTAATTAGGTCCCATTTGATTATTTTTATTTCCATTACTCTAGGAGATGCACTGAAAAAGATATTGCTACCATTTATGTCAAAGAGTGTTTTGCCTATGTTTTCCTTTAAGAGTTTTATAGTATCCAGTCTTACATTTAGGTTTGTAGTCCATTTTGAGTTTGTTCTTGTGTATGGTGTTAGAGAATGTTTTAACTTCATTATTTTACATGTAGCTGTCTAGTTTTCCCAGTACCATTTATTGAAGAGACTGTCTTTTCTCCACTGTATAGTCATGCCCTCCTTTGTCATAGAGTAATTGACCATAGGTGCGTGGGTTTATTTCTGGGCTTTCTATTCTGTTCCATTGATCTGTATTTCTGTTTTTGTGCCAGTACTGTATTGTTTTGATTACCATAGGTTAGTAGTATAGTCTGAAGTCAGGGAGCCTGATTCCTACAGCTATGTTTTTCTTTCTCAAGATTGATTTTGGGACTTCCCTGGCAGTCCAGTGGTTAAGAAAATAATGCACACTTCCAATGCAGGGGGCATGGGTTTGATCCCTGGTGGCGGAACTAAGACCCCACATGCTGTGTGGCGTGGCCAAAAAAAAAAAAAAAAAGATTGACTTGGCTATTCAGGGTCTTTTGTGTCTCCATACAAATTAAAAAATTTTTTGTTCTAGTTCTGTGAAAAATGCCCCGGTAATTTGATAGGGATTGCAATAAATCTTCAGATTGCCTTGAGCAATATAGTTATTTTGACAATATTGATTATTCCAGTCCAAGAACGTGGAACATCTTTCCATCTGTTTGTGTCATCTTCAGTTTCTTTCAGCAGCAGCTTATAGTTTTCAGAGTGCAGGTCTTTGGCCTCCTTATGTAGGTTTATTCCTAGATATTTTATTCTTTTGATGCTATGGTAAATGGGATTGTTTCTTTAATTTCTCTTTCTGATATTTCATTGTTAGTGTATAGATATGTGACAGATTTCTGTGTATTAATTTTATATCCTGGTACTTTAGCAAATTCATTGATGAGCTCTAGTAGTTTACTGGTAGCATCTTTAGGATTTTCTATGTATAGTACCATGTCATCTGCAAAGAGAGAGAGTTTTACTTCTTTTCCAATTTGGATTCCTTTTATTTCTTTTTTTCCCCTCTGATTGCTGTGGCTATGACTTCCAAATCTATGTTGAGTAAAAATGGTAAGAGTGGACATCCTTGTCCTGTTCCTGATCTTAGAGTAAATGCTTTCAGCTTTTCACTATTGAGTATGATGTTAGCTGTATGTTTGTAATATATAGCCTTTATTATATTGAGGTGTGTTCCCTCATTGCCCACTTTCTGGAAAGTTTTTATCATAAATTGGTGTTGAATTTTGTCAAAAGCTTTTTCTGCATCTATTGAGATGATCATATGGTTTTTATTCTTCAACTTGTTAATGTAGTGTTATCACACTGATTGACTTGAGGATACTGAAAAATCCTTGCATCCCTGGGATAAATCCCACTTGGTAGTGGTGTATGATCCTTTTAATGCATTGTTGGATTCTGTTTGCTAGTATTTTGTTGAGGATTTTTGCATCTATGTTCATCAGTGTATGGCCTGTAATTTTCTTTTCTTTTTTTTTTTTTTTGTGGTATCTTTGTCTGGTTTTGGTATCAGGGCAATGGTGGCTTCACAGAATGAGTTTGAGAGTGCTCCTCCCTCTGCAGTTTTTTGGAAGAGTTGAGAAGGATAGGTTTTAGCTCTTCTCTATATATTTGATAGACTTGCCTGTGAAGCCATCTGGTCCTGTACTTTGTTGAATTTCAATACTTATGATCAGTCTATTCATATTTTCTATTTATTCCTAGTTTAGTCTTGGGAGACTGTACCTTTCTAAGAATGTGTCCATTTCTTCTAGGTCTTCCATTTTATTGGAATATAGTGGCTGTAGTAATCTCTTACGATACTTTGTATTTCTGTGCTGTCAGTTGTAACTTCCTATTTTTCATTTCTAGATTTATTGACTTGACCCCTCTTTCTTTTTTTCTTAATGAGCTTCACTAAAGGTTTATCAATTTTGTTTATCTTCTCAAAGAACCAGCTTTTAGTTTCATTGATCTTTTCTATTTTCTTCATCTCTATTTCATTTATTTCTGCTCTGATCTTTATGATTTCTTTCCTTCTGCTCATTTTGGGTTTTGTTTGTTCTTCTTTCTCTAGTTGCTTTAGGTGTAAGGTTAGATTGTTTGAGATTTTCCTTGTTTCCTGAGGTAAGATTGTATTGCTATCAACTTCCCTCTTAGAACTTCTTTTGCTGTGTCCCATAGGTTTTGGGTCATTGCGCTATCATTGTCATTTGTCTCTAGGTATTTTTTTTTATTTCCTCTTTCATTTCTTCAATGATCCACATTGTTTAGCCTCCACATACCTGTGTTTTTTACAGGTTTTTTTTTTTTTTTCTTGTTAGTTGACTTCTAATCTCATAGCCTTGTCGTTGGAAAAGATGCTTGATATGTTTTCAATTTTCTTAAATTTACTGAGGCTCACTTTGGGGCCCAGCATGAGATCAATCCCAGAGAATGTTCCACAGGCATTTGAAAAGAATGTGTATTCTGCTGCTTTTGGATGGAATGCTCTAAAAATATCAATTAAGTGCATCTGGTCTAATGTGTCACTTAAAGCCTGTGTTGCCTTATTGATTTTCTGTCTGGGTGATCTTTCCACTGATAAAAGTGGGGTTATATTTGCTCTAATTTTGTTTTCCCTTTCACTGATTTTTCTTGCTTAAGCTTTATTATTTTCTCCCTTTAACTTTATTATGATATTTTCCTAATTTTAAAGCAGAAATTTACAACATTGATTTTAAACTTTTTTCTAATAAAATGCATTAAAGCTATAAAGTTCTCTCTATGTACTGTCTGCAGTATTCCACAATTTTTGTTATAAATTATTGTCCATTTGCTTCTTTTTCATAAGTGTGAATTGTAAATTGACCGCTGGTTATTTAGAAGGAGATGTTTATGTTTCAAATGTTTATGTACTTTCAATATACTGTTGACCCATGAATAACATGGGCTGTAGGGGAGCCAATTCCCACAAAGTCAAAAATCCACACAGAACTTAATAGTTGGCCCTCCAAATCTGCGGTATTACATTCAGGAATTCAACCAACCACAGATCTTGTAGTATGGTAGTATTACTGAAAAATATCCACATATAAGTGGACCCATGAAGTTCAAACCCTTGCTGTTCAAGGGTCAACTGTAATTTTGTTATTGATTTTTAATTGAATTGCTTTATGATCAAAGAATATTCCTCAGAGCTTACACAGAAATTAATGGACCATGCCTATGTACCACTTTTTAAATCTCAAATTTAATAATATTGTTTCATGACATAGTTCCTCTTTCAGAGCATTTAGAAAAGAGAAGTTCATAATCATGGTTGAAAATCAAAATTTCTTAAGCAGTATATAAATGTAGATTGGCTAGGTTTAAACCTAGAGATATAGTAGGGTGAGTAATTTTAATACACGCCCTCAGTTAAGAAATCACTAGACCAGGTAACTTATTAGTCAACACATCCTGAATTTTATTCAATTAATTCATTCAAAATTTTGTAGAGTGGCAAAAATGTGCCAGGTTTTTTACTGGGAACAAAAATTTTAATGAAGGTACCAAGATATTTTTGTACTGCACTTTATTCTTAATATTTATATAATGTTAAAATAAGGAAATCACTCTATGAGCATGTGTGTTTTTATGTGTGTGTGTATGCGTGTGTGTGTAAGCCCCAAACTCACTCATGATCAACAATGACATTATTTCTGTAATATAATGGGATGATGTATAATAATATTTCTTTAACAGATCTTAATATGTGCCTCCATTACAAATAAATAAGAATTAGATATAAAACTCCCCTTTGTGAGAATAAACATGCTCATATAGTACTAAGACAAATGGAAATTTGTAAATAGAAACTACTTTGCAACATAGTTTTATTTCTCATATTTTCCTAGAGAAGAAAAAAAGTCAAAATCCATATCAATGTTTGTGATATACACTGACACACACACACACACACACACACACACACACGCACACATTCACAGACAGACATGCATGCCATTGAACGATTTGGATTTGGTTAAATTCTGAGATTATTTTGAGGATCTGATCTCACCTAGGCATAGTGTTTTTAAGATGATGTCTTATAATTCTTACAATGTCTTATAGTTCAATTTTAAGAGAATTTGGAGCATAAAGTGGGGAAAAATTCAATCATGGTGTCATTAAAAAGCCCATAAATGTCCATATTTCAGATACGCATTTTGGTGACTTTCTTTTTTTTTTTTTTTTAAATTTCATTTATTTATTTATTTTTGGCTGTGCTGGGTCTTCTTTTCTGTGCTTGGGCTTTCTCCAGTTGCAGTGAGCAACTGCAGGGGGCCACTCTTCATCGCGGTGCGCGGGCCTCTCACTGTCGCGGCTTCTCTTGTTGCGGAGCACAAGCTCCAGACACGCAGGCTCAGTAGTTGTGGCTCACGGGCCTAGTCGCTCCGCGGCATGTGGGATCTTCCCAGACCAGGGCTCGAACCCGTGTCCCCTGCATTGGCAGGCAGACTGTCAACCACTGCGCCACCAGGGAAGTCCTGGTGACTTTTTTTTTAAAATGTTTTTATCCATCTTGTTTTAGTTATGTTGAAGTTTGTGTTAAAAACACATATTTGGTCATTTCTATTTTTCTAGGATGAAGTAATCTTACATAATAATAGAGATCTAAGAATGTAAAATATTTCTCTAGTTGGTCATGGCAAGTGTTTATGTACAGTAATGATCGTTAAATAGAGTGATTTTGTATAAATTAATTAAAACTTTCCCCTCTTATTTTAATAGCCAAAAAATAAACTTCGGGACATGTGATAATTACATCCCAGGTAAGAAAGTTCAATTTTTTAAAACAGGTATGATTAATTTTAGGGATAAGTAATAAACAACAGCTGTCATGGAGTATTACTAAAAATCAGCTTTTAATTTTCCTAAGCACCTTTCTCATGGGCTCAGTGAATACCTTCTAAAGATATTTTGTCTTACTATCCACAGAAGATTAAGTGAATATGTTCAGCAACATAAAGGTGGACATATTTACAGGTTAGAATTCAAACAGTTAGATAATCTTACAGTTGAAAGGCAGTGTAAAAAAATGGATAAATAACTTCTTACCTGTGTCAGGAACGTCTTCTGCTACATTGCTGATATTCTATATCGGACATATAATTGGCAAAAAAATTCATTACTTGACAAGGCCAGTCAATCTGATGGTGAAGGACTTCTTATATCAAGTAATCAATTTTCTCTCATATATTAAACTTAAATATATCTTTCATTCTGCATATTTTCTCATTGATCCTGATTCTATCTTTAGGAGACTCACAGGACAAGTCTATTTTCTCTTATATACAGCATTTTTGTACATACTTAAATAGATGAGGATCTCTCTCTCACAGGTCTTATTGGTAACCTAAATATTTTTAACCATTTATATTATAGTTTCTATGTAACTCGACTCTCACAATCACAATTCTGTAGGTACTCTTTATTTATCGATTTTCTTCATTAGTATGCCACCGATGACAATGCGGTTCTGGGGTGTATGACATTTACTCTTGTAGCTTAGAATATGGTTACTAACTAAGGGGATCTTAAGTGTTAGCCTTTATATTCAGTCATATATTTACTGAATATTTTAAATAGGAACTGTGCTAAGTACTTTGGGAGTTACAAAAGTAGCTACCATAATTTCTGTTCTCAGTAGAATTGTATTCTAGCCAAAAGAGTATAAAGGAAAAATCTAGATTGGAAGAGATAGAAAGATTAAAAGGAAACAGTAAAACTGTTTTTTTTCCATTTATATTACAGACTATATTAGTTTCACAATGACTATATAATTAACTACAAAACTAGTTAAGGGCTTCCCTGGTGG